TTTTTTATCTTCAGGGAAAGAATGCTAGGTAGGCTTGTTTCCATAGCATTTTGTCATTATATTAGAGCTCTTAATTACAGTTTCTCATTTTTAAGTCCTATCTTTAGTTTTCAAGGACTTTGAATGCATTTGAAAGCATTAACATTTGCAACCTAGTACTAACTTTGGTAGTAAAAAGGTAATTTATTTGCTTAGAGAAGAGATCATTTCCTAGCATGAAACACTCAAAAGAAACCAAATGCAGACTTTGTCTTAATAGTTGAAAATTCAAAATAAATGAAGCTTATGTAAAATGGCACTAACAGACTAGAGCTACAGTGGACTGCTGAAATTGGATTTGGTTAGCTATAAACATAATTAGCTTAAAGCATTCTAGCTTGCCATGCAGTGTGAGCTCTCATAGGCTGGGATGTGATAATGCTTTGCTCTTTTGCATTTTAACTCCTTGTGGAGATGTGGAAGCCAGCTGATTGTAGGCTTTGTAGAAGCTAAATTAACCACGGGTTCCTTGGGGGTTTATGGCAAACTGTGAGGTTTATTTGGTGTTGAAGTGTGCTAAAGATAACGTGACAGTAACCTAAAATGCTGCACTCACATCCTCCCAATTCTGAGTGCATACAGTATTTTTAAAAACCTTCAGAAACGTAGGTCGTAAATGCCCTTAATATTCTCATGAATGAAATATTAACCCGAACAGTATATACAAACAAGATGATAATATTGTAAAGTTGCATACAAAATACTGATGTGGATTGAATTTTTGTAGCATTTTTATTTCCACAAGACAATAGCTCATGCCCATTATGTGGAATTGTGTTCATTTAATCCAGTGAGTAATGCTACTTGACCTCAATCTTTGTCGTAAGTGGGTTGGAATCGGTCAATAAGTAGGCATTTCCACACCAGTGAAACACTTAGGTTTATACACATGGGACCTTCATAAATTCTAAGAATATACGTACAGATGTTAAGTCTCTATAGAATAGACCTAATGTACAGTCTCTTCCTCAGATGTACAGATCGCTCGAGACAAGTAAGCCTGTGTTCTCACAGCATGCAAACACTGCCTGATGAATCCTTCCACCGCTGGGTTGTTTCCAAATAATAAATTCAGAACCTTCAGCTTTTGCCTTTCATCTGACAATCTCAAGCTTTGCAAAGCTGAGATGATTTTTGTTATCCCTCTGCTTCTCCTGTTTCCATTTTCCATGTGTAAGTGTATGGTGAAACATTATATTTGCAGTGAAGTAAGGGAAAGTTGCATACAGGACATTCTATTAAATTGTTCATTGCACGCAGTGGCTAAATTCTTTCACTTCCTCCTTTTTACCCTCCCAGTGCCTTTCTTTAAGGGAGAATTTTTCAAGAGAGGTATTTCAGAAAAGGACAAAGGGGGAGAAGGACCATTTTTAATCTCTTAACCACTCCCCTCCCCCCAAAAAAAGTCATTATGGAGAATACATTTGAGGATTATAATCTTGTTATTTAGAATTGCAGAGGAATACAGTACGTAGTAAGTATTAACACGACATCATGCAGAGTAGTTAGAACTCTATTTTTGCAGTAACTGAGTCTTCTAACATATATGGAATAGAGATAAACTGGTGTATTTCCTTTCTTGTATTCTTTTTAAAAAATTAATTTCCAGTAGAGGTGGCTTACATCTTCAGCAAGGCTTTTAGTACTTTAGCCTTCTGTGTTTATTACTTCTGTTTAGAAATCATTGTAGATAAGCATCTGAAAAAAGAAATACAATAAACATTTGTGTTAATTATATCATTTCCTCCTACTCTTCTCCCCTTCACCATATGTTCTTTTCTCTCTATGCCTCTCGACTGACTTTTATTAGGGCTTGATACGTGTCTAATCACACACCTCAAAGTATGCTCTGATGATGCAAATGTGCCCCTGTTTCTGCACTCTTTTAAAAGTGTCAATATATCTGAGGTAGACAGAGAAAAGAACAATGGGATTAATTCAGCAGGTAGTTACTACGTGCATTTCCCTAAGTCTGTGTTCCCTACTTCAGCCTTTGTGTCAAAGGCTTTGTGTCTCATATTACCCCTTGCCCTGGAATTTTTTTTTTGTTTGTGGGTATTTTTTGGTGTTTGGGGTGGCTTGGTTTGTTTGATTTTTTTGTTTGTTTGTTTCCCCTTCCCCCTCCACACCAAATCCCTTGGTTATTTTCCCAAATGCCATCCTCTCTGAAAAACCTTTGGGAATTCATCAGGTTTCTCTGACCATATCTATGACTTTCTATTATAGCATTGATTCATATGTCCAAATTTTATTTCTGCTTTCAAGGGGAAAACAGCTTCTTTCATTATCTGTGAGACACTAAAATGCACCATTGTGCTTGATCATCAAAGACAGTAGGAAATTAGATGCCATTTTTTTCCCTTAAAAATGGGGGACCAGGAGCAGGGCAATCCAACTTCATACACTTGTATCTGGAGCTCTGCTTCTGAAATCATTGGCACGTAAGTAATTTACCTGAACTTACTGCTAAGATGCACTTTGGTTTCAGAATGCAAATTTGCTTTGAGCATAAGCACTTTCCTTCTCTGGCCAGTTATCTGTACATACATTTTTTTAGTGGGATCAGCCATAATTTCAGATTTAGCAGTTATCTATAACAGCATAAGGTCACGATAGAAATGCTACACTACTTCCAAAAGATAAATTCATTACTATGCTGCTTTGAAACTTTGCTTTCTGCTGCTTTTGCTCCTGGACCTCGCAAGGCTGTACCAAGGCTGCTCTATCCCCAGTATAAAGGATTCAAACCCTTCAGCAGAACTTACCATTTGTTTTTATTATGTTTTCCTTGGTTCTTCCTTACGAAAACCCACTTAGGGAAAGTTTCTGCGTCCTGGTGAGAACAGTGTGGGGGAAATGCTGACAATAATTTTGAACTGTCTGTCAAGACTGCAGTGATCTGCATACCAGGAACAGTCAGCAGTGGTCAGGCCGGGATGCAGTAGTGTAACAGAGTGTGGTGTCACTTCCAGTGGTTTGTGTGTGTTATGCTACAGCCTCGTTTTCTATTTACTGAATTATCAAGAAGAACTGATTTGCTGCACGGGCATAACCACCGTGCATTAAGGAAAGATGCTGAATGCACTCGATGGTATAGTGCACACAAACATTTGTTAACACAAAAGAAGGTCGACGTGCTTGTGCTGTCAAGCAAAAATTTCTTTTTCAAGTGAATTTTTTTCCTTAGACTAGCAAGAATAGTTATAGGATTTCTGCATTAAACAGATGTGAATGTCCAGTTACACACACACCAAATGAATAAATTGTAGATCTACTATCATATTGAATGTATGATAGATGTAAAAAAAGTCAAGGTCTGACTTTATCACCTTTTCTTGCCAATGATTAGTGGGGGGTTTAATACATGTTAAATTTCTCAGGCCTGTTGAATGCAGGCACATTGTGCTTTCAGAAAGTTTCGAGGACTTCCAGTGGTTCTTTTAAAAATGAAACTGTTACTTATCACCAGGGCACTGGGTTGACTTGAAGTAGATAAGGATCTGTGTTAATGTAAAAAGAGTTTGAATCTCTCAAAATGAGCCTTAGAATTTCTTTCCTGTCATTGTTTAGCACGTGGAAAGAGCTAAACAGCACAAGCATTGAGGCAATCCACCGTTCCTGCTTCATTCTTAGCTTGAAAAGGTACTGTTGTTTATGTAATACGTTCAAAGGGGCACGTAATTTAATATATACTGTTAGTCAGCCATGTGCATTTTTACGTTTCTGCCTGTAGGTAAGCTGAACACCTGGTGACATGGCAGCACGTTTAAAACACCGCTGAGAAAATCCTCAGTAACAGCACAGATAACAGGTCTTTGAAAATTGAGTAATACACAAAATAAATATCACTTTTAACAAAATTTTCTGTATTGCCTTTGTATGAAGGTAGTAGTACAGAGAGAAATATGATCTATTTACTGATCCTGGTGGGGATGGCCGGTGGGTGGTAAAAGTTGCTGGGTACTGTGCTACTCTGCTCTATACAGTTCCCGTAAGATAGTCTTTTCTTCTTTAAACTCCTGGTATCTTCTGAGAAATGAGAACGCTTTTGTCAGCCAGGTGTTGAATAGAGGTTTTGATATTTAAAGCAAACTGTTCAATGCTCTTAGAAATGCTAATGTAGGAAAAAATACAGGTACTACATTTTGAGCTTCAAGACAGGAAATGTTAAACAAGACAAGAACGGTATAGAAAGGCAGAATGAATATTCTGAGGTGTTAATTCTAACTACGGAGGGAAGAAACTAGAATTCTGGAGCGGACACTGGAGCTATATTGTATGATGCAAGGATGACTCAGCCCACGCTCAGATCATCTTCAGATCTTGCCACACTTATTTACATTAAAGTTCATTGCTATTTTAAATCTGTGCATTTAGTGGAGAAGAAGGTGAGAAAAAAGCAGAGGGAGAAGAATAAAAGCAAAAGGAGGGAGGGTAGATTTTAAAACGCAGCAACAAAAATACCTGGACCAATCCCTTTGGCTCCCCACACTGCGCTCTCAGTGGAGGAGCTTGTAATCCTATATTTGCTATATCAAGAGGATTCTTCTATGAGCACAAATTAATAATTTATTCATAGGCTAGAGTCAGCCCGCATTGATTTACTTATGCTGCATTTCTTTTCATTCATAAGCCTTCGCTGGTCGGGATCTCTCGGATAGTGACTCGCTGCGGCGCTCCGGCGTGGGAGGAAGCAGCAAAACGTGCCTTTATGCACAAGGACGTGCTGTATATGACTCAATTAAATGTGCGAGCCTGACCTAAACCCGGGGCTCGCTCCGGGAACCCGCCGCTCCCGCTCCTCGGCGATGCTACCTCGGCGGGGACCGCTGCTCTCCTCCCTCCGCCTGCCTGCGCCCTCGGTGCGGCGCCGCGGCCGGGATGCTCCGCGCTCCCGGCAATGCAAGGGCTGAGCTCCGGCCATCCTTCGCCTCTCCGGGCTGTGTGACAGACAGATGCTTGTCATGCAGCGGTGCCCTGCCTGAATTGGCCGGGTCTCCGGTGGGTGTGCACGGCCCCCACCCCCCGCCCCTGCCAGCCCTGCCGAACCCTCCCTGGCTCAGCCCCCGGCAACGTGCAGCGCTCTCTTCTCGCCTTCCTAGAAGGGCTCAACTACACTTTCAGCTCCTCCAGACTTTCTCCGCTTTTGCCGTACAGAGGCACCCTCCCTCTGGTCCAGCTCCTCCCGTGCCTGCCTCTCTGTCTCCACGCTATCCCGTTAAAAGGCTGCTGCTCCTGCTCCGCTGAACCAATGCACTGGCTGACTTGATCTGGGATGAAGGCTGGAGGTTATCGGCGCGGGAACGGAGAAGAACTCTAGGCAGCTTTCCATTTGCGAAGTGAGCAGTAATTGCAAGAAGACAACCTCCCCAGTTGGAATCAATAGTCTGCTTTCTTGCTGCTAAGGGCACTTTGGAGCAGCAGTAGGTCACTGAAGTAACTTCAGCACACTGCTGACTGCGGAGTTGTAAAGAACTATATGCAAGTGGCTGCAGTAGTGCTGGAAAACGCTTTGCTGTTACCAGGGACACAATAGTTTTCAAGTCATTAGAGCTTTGCTTCTGGTCCGCTCCTTCCATTACACAGAGAGGGTCCTCCTTTGGAGGGATGAGGATGGAGCTGTGATTTTTCTCCAGTGTTGTTCTAGAGGAGGGGACAAGAGAGGGGGAAAGAGGCTGTAGAAGCAAAACCCTACTGCTGCTGAACTCAAGTTCACTTGAATTTCCCCAAATCTTTGCAGGCACAGAGAGGCACAATGCCAGAAAATCTGAATCTTCTTCGGGCTTTTGGGGGGGTTTTCTTTATCTTCTGGACAGCTTTTAACACAGCCTTAGTGGATGTGGTTGGATCGGAGCAGCAGATCCCCTTGTCTGTGTAAGTGCTTTCATGCTATTCCTCTCAGGACCACGTTCAAGGATGAGAACTTGACTGCTCAAGTTCTTATGTTTTCGTATTGCAGATATTTGACTGTTCAGGGCACCTTTGCTCCCCTGTCAGCTGTGTTTAAAGTGAGAGTCTCTAAGGTGCTCAGCACTACTTTGATTTTACTGTAGGAGCAAGTGTTGGTGGAGTATGTGGCCACAGAGTCTTAAGTGCTTGTATTTTCTGAAGATGATGCTGTTAACTCTTTCTCGTGTGGGAATTTATCATTCAGATAAACATTTTGCCATTTTAGCTGCTGCTTTCCTTTCAATGGATGTATGTTATGTTGTGCCAAAGCATGTTTCTGTACAAGTTGATTCCTTAAATTTTAACAGTGTAGGTTGGTAGTTTAATATCAGAGGCCTTACTTTAGCACAGTGTCTAGTTTGTGCTTATACTTGAACAGCTTCACTGATCTTTTGCTGTGCTTGGGTTCCTTAGTGAGCTCACTAATACAAAATTGCTGGGATCCTTCTGAGTGCAGCTGAAGCTGTTACAGTCTGGGTTGCTTTGCTATGACATGTGTATTACATTTCTTCCTGTCTCTTTTTTTTTTTTTCTTCACAGTGTAAAGCTCTGGGCCTCAGCATTTGGTGGAGAGATCAAATCTATTGCAGCCAAATACTCAGGTTCCCAGCTCCTGCAGAAGGTAAGGATTTCTTCAGCTGTAATAAGGAAGATTTTAACAGAGAAAATGGAGGCAGATTTAATTTTTTAAATGACTAGGAAAGCAGTGCTGTACGTGCTTTTGTCCAAGATCTATTTTTGTATTGCATACTAGTCCCTGATGACTCTAACATTGCACTGCACTCTCTGTGGAGTCCTTGGTTAAACTGATATTTTTCTGTTTGGATGACTTTTTTTTTTTTTTTTCATCATTAGAAAGTAAACTCCAACACTTCTGTTTCTTGAAGCCTGACTTCGGTCTGGGTTGTGGGTATTTAATCTGGTTGCTGCATTGTGATGATGATGTTTCTGTGCAGAAACAACTGTTTCTTATGAAAAATATTAACTTCATTCAAGGAGCGGAATTAGTGCATATTGTGTTATTTCCCCCTGTGCTGTGTGTTCACAATTCACTGTAGCAGGGAGAAGGCGACTGCACTGCTGTTTGTCATCCCTGCAGTTTTTACAATCCCATTATTCCCCCAATCATCTCAACCCAGTGCTGGGATGTATTACATCATTACAGATAAGGGGAATGAATGTGGTTATCTTCTTGCTCAGCTGCACAGCTGGGTAATAAGCTGGTGAGGTATTGCAAAAACTTGAGAAATTGGTATAAGTCCACGTAATTGGGGCAGAGGGTAATGAAAAAGCAGATTTGAGTGTTAGGTATATCAAGAACTTTGTCTACTCTAATTTAAATGTGCAACCTATAGTAAAGTTCTGTATTATAGATGATTTATTTTTACCACAGTTGCCAAAAAAATAGGAGACTAAGAGGAATACGGTAAAAATAGGACTGCGATTTTGAGGCATTGAATATGTGATCCTCAAAATGCAATATGTAAATGGAAAATCATTGAGACATTCACTGATTAGAGCACTCAGTCAACACATATATTTCTGCTGATTTTTTGTAGATGTGGTTTTTAAGTCTGAGTAACATTAATTTTATTTTTTGTCTGATTACGAAGGAAATTTTTCCTTGAACTTATAACGTTTATTTTGAAAGGCTTATATATGTGTGAAATTATGTAACAGACAGTATATGTAGCAGCTGAAATAAAAAGCTTATGCTATCGTTTTAACATGTTTAAGGCAACTAACTTAATTGCCAAAGGCATGTGAGTTCCTTAGCAGTATCTGTCTTTCAGAGCTGTGTACCCAGGACTGTAAAATATGAATTTTACTAAGCTAAATATGGAACTATTAACAACAAAAATATTTGAGGTCTCTTACTACCTTTCAAAACCTTTAAATGGCTTCACTTCAGCATGTTGGGCAAATTTTGATTTTATTCTGAAAACCTGGACACAATATTTATTACACTTACAGCTCATGTTCTTTAAAGTCCATGTAGTCTTACACTGTCATGGTTTTGCACGAACACCCTAATTTATAAAGCAGATGGAGCTTTCAGTTTTGATTAGTTTCTAATAAGGAATTATTAAAAGACTTTAATTTTTTTATTGGGCCATAACAAACAAGTGCCTTTATTTAACTTTGGAACTGTTCCACGCACAGCCATTTTTGGGTAAAAATGGCTTTAAAAATTAAACCTACCAGATACAGACAGCCCAACATTTCCTAGAAGAAGATGGTGTACATGGAATATACCGTGTTTTACAGTCGTGCTAAAATCCACAAAGAACCAGTGTGAGATCCTTGATCGTTCTTCTCTTCCTCCTAGTAGATATTGCTGCCATCCCTCTGTAATGTATTTTTCCCTCTGAAGTAGTAAGATTGCTTCCTATTGGTTGTTATAATTGAAGGTAATTGGAAGCTATTCATTTTACCTTTTCATCAGCATCCTTTCTGTTTCACTAACAACTCTGTGCTCCTGTTTTTCAGGATGGACAGTGTCTATTCATTACAAGCTATTTTGTTTTTGTTTCGTGCTTTTGTTTTGATATTTCATTATTGAATGGAAAAGACAAAATGCATGTTTGGCAGGCATATTTAGAGCCTTTTTATTCCTCTGTCACATCATCTATTTTTCTTTTTTCTTTTTTTCCCTTCTGGTTACAGTAATTTTTATAGGATCTCTGTTGCTTTTGATTTTTGTTTAGAATGTCAAGCATCTCTGTCCGTTTAAGCTTGCTGTTTCCTGCTGTTGGTCATGGCAAATGAGCCTGGATGACAGATGACTTAAACATGTATTTTTGGTATTGTTATGCTTTGTTTCTTCTGTCAGCTTGTAAACCGTACCAAACTTCAGGATTTGCCAGTATTTTCAACATGCAAAGTCAGTGACAGAAGTTAGCGTAATAGCTAAGAAGGTGATAGCACAGGAGGGGCTGTAAATGCAAGCACCTTTTTTACCACCCTTTCTGTCCCCACTAGCCAGGCAAGAAGAATCTGTTTGGTATTTACTGTGGGCTCTGGGTGATCAGAGTCCATGTCATTTTAAAGCCAAGGTTCCACTCTTAGAAGTAGTGAGGCTTGTGATATTACTGGAGAAATCCACATTTCCTGATTATGAATTAAACATCGTTAAACAAGTGAAGATATAAAATGTGTGTATGATTATGGCTCTGGGCAGTATAGATTTCTCAATAGGCAACTGCTTTGGAGCACCATTTAGTTTAATAAAAGCTTGCTGAATAAAAAATTAATGTAAAGGTTACTTAATTCATTTTGTCAACATACATGGTGAGCACTACTTTCAGAGTGATGCACTTGAAATCAAGATATGATTGACAGTCTTTGCTGCCCAAATGCTTTGTGCTTTAAGAGTTGTTTGACCCATACTAAAATTTCATTGAGCAAATGAAGTTATGAGATAGTCAGCAAAGCAAAATTTTACCGGGTTAGAGCTGTGAATATTGATTTAGTCGTTACAATTCTGAAGTCTTACTGTGCTGTGAACATCAAATGAGTCACCAGCATTGGTATCCTCTTGAGTTTACAGAAGATGCGTAAGAATACTTTTGTTGCTTTTTGAAACTGTTTTAGAAGAAACCAAAACTGCTCACCTTATCTTAATTGAATGCTTAATTATTTTATTTCATTATGATCATCTTATACAAGTAAGTTGTCATGCCTCCTAAAAGTAGCTGAGATATAAGATTTTTCCAAAATTTATTTTAATTGAAATACAAACACTGCAAGTAGCTTGAAAAATGATAATAATAGTTTAGTAAATAACTTCAGCAGTTGTTATGAGCTTTTAAGCAAAATTAGCACTTAAAAGTGTTCTATTCCTTGCATTCAAAGAAATGGAAGACCACTAAGTGTACTAAAAAACCACACAGGAGGAAATAGGATGGTATTATTCTTTATTTGCTTGATTTCTGGAGGTTTTACAGTTGTCATATGGATTGGGCAGCAAATAAGAAGCTTCTTGGTGCTGTAGAGATATTCATGCTCTTCACCTTAGGAAGTACTACTGGACCCTAAGAATTGACTCAGATTTTGTCTCTTAGGTGCTTTTTTTCCCTCCTTAGACTCTCAGAAGCCATCTGCCTTATTTGAATCTCGACACTTCACATTTCCTTTGTAAACACTCTGTGTTTAGTGAGCCCTGGACTAAATGAGGGAGCACAGCCCAGTAGCCCAGTGGCAAAGCCAGGCTTCATATAGTAGGATGCAGAGCAAGGCTTAGGTGCCAGGGAGATCTTCACTTCAGCTGCTGTGATTAGAGTTTTGGAAAAACAGACTTTGGGGAATGCTACTGTTCACATTACAGTTCCATGATAATAATGTGTTTTCAGTGCCACACTGTTGCAAAATAATAGCAGTAATAACACCGAAGCATAAAATGCAGGTAATGTGCCTTCTGTTAACGTTAAAAATAATCATTGTTATCCAGTAAAGCTTTTCTCAAATCAGAGCAGTGTCTGTCTCTCTGAACCTGCAGCGTGGTCTGTGCTTTCTCAGGTTCCTTTTGAGGAGACTACTTTTTTTTTTTTCCCTGAGTAGTCTAAGCTTTGATAATTCTTGTTTTGTTTTGTTTTGTTTTGTTTTTGTGATGTTGTTCTAACCAGTCAATATTATTTTAAGGCAGATGTAGGAACAGTTTCTAACTGAAAATACCCTTTAGTTTTGGTTCTGCCACAAAGGTTTCTTAATGACGACAGGCTTGTTTAGGGCTCTCTCCGATTTTCCTTATGTAAGTCGTCTCCTGGAGCCTCCCCTGTTATGTAAGCACTGGCTGCTTGGTCTGAAGCAGTCTGGAGTCTGCATCTGCCTACTCCTTTCAACAGATTCTTCATTGTGTTGGGAGCTCTCAAATCCTTGTGTTCTCTCAAAGCAGGTTTTTCCATCAGGAGAGAGTTGCTACTTTTAAAGACGCAGAATTGCATTTTATCTCACTGACTGGGTGTGCTGCTGTATCTTGGGAATTTCTTACAACTGTGGAAATGCCAGTGCAAAACGATTTAGATCAATTAGCATTCAGCTGGTGAATCTGATTCATACAGTACATCTATCTTTAGTTCTAAACTGTATAATGGTGACAAATTCTTAGAGAAGTTTAGTCCAATTATCTTGACATTAATTGCCTTTCTTTTATTCAGCCTTATGAGGGTTTTGGTCTTTTTAGGCTGTTTTTTTGCTCAAGACACTGCAACTGCTGCTTTGAAAGAAGGATCAGTAGGATTGAGACATTCAATTGAGAGGACTGACTTCTTGGATATCAAATCAAACTTCTGCCAGCTGAGCAATTTTAAAACTGCAAAAATAATACTGTTTTTTTTCCTATCAAAAATAAGAGAAAAATCATAAAAAAATCTGTAGACATATGACTTTAATTCAAAAAATGATAAAAGAACCTCCAGCCACCAAAACAAATACCACCCCCTCACCCTCCCCCCAACCCCGACAAAAAAACCCAAAACCAACAGCAACAACTCCCTTCTCCCCATCAACCAAAATCAACAGCTCCCCAAAGCCCAAATTAAAAAGCCCACCAACCAGGTAAATAGTGTGGAACTTTACCAAAATCTCTGTTCAGAATTAATTCATTATGATTGAAACTCCTGA